GTGTACGTGTATGTGTGACGAATTTTACTAAACTGTCATACAATTATATTGTCTCAATACACACACATATATATATATATATGTACACACACACACACACACACACACACACATATACATATATGTAGAATAGGATATATATATATATGATACACACATAAAACTGCTCAGTGTCGAGTCAATATGTTGTCAACCATTCTGTTCTTAATTTGTCTACATTGATACATAAAGCCACAATATTTTTGTGACTTGTATTTCCAATATTGCACAGGAACATATTTTATATATATAATCCGTTTCTTCTTTTTTTTTTACAGAGAGAATATGCCCTCCCACTTTAAAATCAAAGAATATTGTCCGTTAGTCTTTAGGAATCTGCGAGAAAGATTTGGAATAGATGATTTGGATTACAAAGAGTCGATGACAAGGTAATATCTCTAAGCTTGATTGCTCTCGTTAAATCTTGATGTATTCGGTATAATTCTATGTAAAATATGCGGCACTGTCTACTCTTTGTAAAAGTAGAGATAGATCTATACTCGCTTATGCGGTCGCTCGACGACGTCGTACGTCGCGAGTGAAGTAGGGATGTACGGAGGCTACTGTGATCGCTTTGTAATGTAAGGATTTTGATGTGGTAGATGTCGGGTGTTTAATCCCTCGCGAGCAAAGCAGCGTACGGATTTGATCGAAGGAATAGGCGGAAGGACTCATCAATTGGTACAGCGCTCCGCTACCGCCCCGTCGTTTACCTTTCCTTCTCCCACATCTGCCTCCTCGCGCAATTCTATTCTAAACAAACCGTTGCGTACCTGCAGTTTTAAACCGAAACGCCTGAGGTTAGCGAAACTTGATTTTGCCATGCTGTGCGTTTTCGTCGTTTCTAACAAAGGTTTTAAAGGCCTACCTGAGAAGCGAAAATCCGTGTGACTAAGCATAATAATTTGATTAATCTTAATGACCGCTTAATCCAACGCGGTAGTTTTAAAACACTACGGAAACTATCATTAAAAAAGCTTTTCCGATTTGAAGCATGGTGAGAGAATGTTTCACTCGGATCATTATCATTAAAATCGCTCGCTGAGATAACAAAGATAATTAACAAGTCAAATGCTTTATATCGACGGCAATGATGCCAGTCACGATAGTGGTAATCATCCTATTGATCATAATAATATATAGTCAGGCAAACGTTAAGGACAATGAAAAACAGCTTAATATGCTAATTTTGATTATTCGTTATTGTCAATTAATAATTCTCAATTAATGTCAATTAATATTAAGTTTTTCCCATTAACGTAATTAATTATGACCAAATCGCCTCGCTCACCAAGTATTCGGCTAAATTCGAAATACCCACCAATTATCTAATATGCCGCTCTTGACAGTGATTCATCATTCGTATTTGCCAAGATCACGCTCCCATATTACTCCGTGCCAGCGGTCATTCGAATTAAACCATCGTTTGAATCTTCTTTGCGCACGCATGCGGAATACGATTTGCATATTTTCTTTCTTTTTTTTTGTCTTGCAGATCGCAGCCAGTGCTCGAAGATTCATCTGGGAAGAGTGGCGCAAAGTTTTATCAATCTTACGACAAGCTGTTCATAATTAAAACTCTCACGAGCGAGGAAGTAGAGAGGATGCATTCTTTCTTGAAGCACTACCATCCTGTAAGTACAATCGAAAAAGAATAAGAAGATTCTGAACTGTACGAACGTTGTGTTTGCAGTATATCGTCGAACGACACGGAAAGACTCTGTTACCGCAATATCTGGGAATGTATCGGTTAACTGTCGACGGCGTCGAGCATTACGTAGTCGCTATAAGGAATGTATTTTCGAATCATCTGACGACGCACAAGAAATTTGACTTGAAAGGCTCGACGGTTGACCGGGAGGCGTCAGACAAGGAAAAGGAGAAGGATCTCCCTACCTACAAGGATAACGATTTCGTTAAGGAGGGCATGAAAATCTACATCGGGGAAGAAGCCAAAACCAAGCTAATAGAAACGTTAACGGCCGATGTAGATGTGAGTATTTATATAAGAGTGAAAACTTTGGTCATGATATTTTATCTTGGGAGTTATTTTGAGAGTTATCTGAAATTATTTATCGTGATAAAAATTTTCTTTGAATTTTGTGAAGGACTTCAATGTGCTCGAGATATAATCTATCTGTTTCCATAGTTTTTGACAAGATTACACTTGATGGATTACTCTCTGTTGCTCGGCCTGCACGATTGCGCGCGCGCCGAGCAAGAGAGCAGAGAGCGCGCGGAAAGGGAGGACGACGAGGACAATCATGAGGAAGAAGATGATAGCGAGTCCGGTAGCGGATTGGAGTCCCGAGGTCCAGTGACAGAGTAAGCGAGCGTTTTTCCTCTTTCCTCGTTGGAGCGAAAGCTAGTTGAATTTGACTTTTCTGCATCGATAACTCGTTTGCGCTTGCAGCCGTATGTGGGGTTGGAGCGGTGTCGGTCATGCGATCACCAACATGGCAACGCCCCCCGAGTCACCGCATGCCGCGTTAATGCGTGATACCAGTCTACAGTATGAGGACGCGATAATACCCGAGCTAGATATTTATGCTATTCCTAGTAAAGAAGGTACTTTCCCCAAACAGCTTCAAGTGTTTATACGCAAAAGTAATTACGCTCATCACGTGTAATCTTTTCCTAGGTGCTCCCACGAAGGAGATTTATTTTCTAGCCATAATAGATGTGCTGACGCATTATGGCGTACGTAAGCAAGCGGCGAAAGCGGCAAAGACCGTCAAGTATGGTGCTAACGTCGATGGTATATCCACCTGTGATCCAGAACAATACGGCAAACGTTTCATAGAGTTCATGAGCAAAGCCATAGAGTAAAGAGTATTATTAATCGTTGTGCATAAAATGACGAAGTTACGACGATATTATCGCTTACTACTGTGTATTGTCGGAGTGAAATCGAATTGATTGCAATCCGCACGAGAGTGGGAGAGAGTCCCGAAGATTGAGTCATCGCGGTCTCACAGTTTGGTTTACTTCTCCGCATCGGTTATCTTCTTAATAGCTTTCACTCGCGTTCATACATGACGAAGCGCGTAACGTTTCGCGAGCTCTTTTAAATGACCGCGTCTCTCGCCGATATCTGTCTATATCGGTGTTGTTTTTATTATATATTTACGCGCGGCTGGCAAGAGATTTTTTTATTCTTAATTATCATTTGTCGCAATTACGTTGCTTCTCGTTCAGTCCATTTCCACGCCAGTTGCGAAGAAGCGTGCGATCGAGTTTCTCGAATTTGTCGCTTGAAATTTCTTTTTCTTCGTGATAGAACGTTCAATCGCACATAGTGTTACACATACACAGTTGCAATCGCGCGAGAATTTTCGTAAAGCGAAAATACGGCGCCTCCTCTTTTCTCTATCACCAGGTTTTTTTCTTCTCACCTCGAAGAAATATAAGAAATATAATAATATAATAGCAATCAGCGATCTTGCAAGTGATCTTGCATCGTTCGATGAATCATTTGCGATGAATAATTAATGGCATTGAAAAATATCAATTGAATAGATAGTACTATCTATGGATTGAGATAAAAAGCTCCAGATCGCACAAATTCTTATCTACTGATATCAGTCACCGTAATATTTAAAAATATATTAGCAGTTTGTTTTATTTTTTATTGATGAACTAATAATGGACGTGAGTCATATTACATGTTATGGAAAGATATCAAACTTAATGTATTTCTGTTTCAGTAAAATTCTTCTAAATATCTCTTGACGTAAAGTATGGCGCTCGCCAAGTATAGGATTGCCTGATGTGCGTCTAATTGTTTTCATATAAGATGTAATTTCAGTAGCTCGGTGAAACTACGCCTGCTGTTTTGCTAAAATTTCAATTGATATACTGATGCACACAATGTGCACAATTCCGAGAGGAATGTATAATACACAAAAAAATACACATACACTTCACATATACGTGTATATATGCATATACAAATCACTACGAAATAAAATACATTAAATGTAAATGTTTGTGCTTAGTTCGGTTCGGTTACGTTTCGATTTTGGGAATCGACGTCTCAGTTACTTCGCGGAAAATATCTTTGGGTAACGCGATCCATTTAATATTATTATACACGATACATATCTTTTTGAGCTTTCTTATTTGCCACGACAATTGAGAATCAGCAATTTGTTACCACAGCTTTCATTTCACAAAAAGAACACTCAGAATAAGACACATCGTCCTTCCGAAAGTAAGCACTTGCAAACTTCTGCACCATAATATCGTTTATCGACGGTGGGTTATGAGTCTCCAGCTTTGTTGATGTTTGTAAATTTAATAAAAAAAACGTTCGACGATAGTTGAACTGTAACTGTCGAGCAATTTGTATTACAATGAAGGAACAGGAGAATGTACACCACATTGCGTAAGACAATATCTTTAAATATCTGGTACACTTTTATATATATGTATGTATAATTTGTTAGAGAGCCGATGATAATATAACTAACTACTTTATTGATTAATATATTCATCTAGTCTCGATACATCGTATAATTTTATATATTTATCGTCTAATTGCGCGCGCCGGGACTAACGGGTGTGATAGACGAAAGGAGGAGGGAATGCCCGTCGCTGCGTATTTGTTACGGGACTTACTAGATCTCGAAAGTACGATCCGGTTTCCGTGTGATTTGTCAATCGTATAAGTACGATTAAAATTTGCGAAATCCTTCGAGCGCGATACCGTTCTCTAATAAATGAGGAATTACATCCATCCGTTAGCATGCGTCCTCGTGTGTGGCAACGATAAAAAATCTTTGTTCACATTCAAATAAATTGAGATTCATCGGTATGCAAAGTCATTTGTGCAGCTTTATTATATGTGTAAGATAATGTTGCATTCTTTTTTTTCTTTCTGATTTAGCTCACCATCTTGACATATACAGAGTCCGTCTTCCAGCTTATACATTATGACGTATAAATACCTTGGAATCGACGCGCGTCAGAAGTTACACAACGACACGCAAAAATACGAAAAATAAATTATTATTTTTAATTTCTAATATACATGAGATTATTTACAAAACTGTGTCGTCTGCGTTGAATTTCAAGGTATCTGTACGAAAGACAAGAAACTAAAATGGCACTCTCTCTGTTAAATAAATAACGATAAATAAACGAGAAAAAGTACTCTGTGACTTTTACGAGTTATATCTTACATGAAGATTTTTATAAGCGATTTACATAAGATTTATCGTATCTATTGGACGATTGTTCACTTTTGTCCGTCCGTTACATTTTGCAGCAGTTGGAGATACCTGCTTTAGGCATTCTATATCGTTAAATACAATCTGCGCTCCTCCACCGCAAGTCGGTAATACGTCAGCCTGCAATATGCAAGAATATAATAACATGTTTAATAATAACATGTTTTCTGAGCTATGATGTTGTAATGAAGTTTACCTTGTACAACTTGGTCTCAAGTTCGCCGTCCACGTCCTGTTCCTGCGAGAAAAGGCAGTACCTGGAGGATTTGGCCGCAAAGTCTTTCGGATTTGTCAACTTTCGAATGGTTCGTTTATGAGGCTGCGTTTGTGGTTGCAAGATCGTGCCAGTCGGAACGATTCCGATGGGACGATGATCTATCCATCTATCTGCATTCTGTGATCGCCGATATCTCGGATTCACCACTGGGATTTTATCCTGCATCATTATACAGGAAGAACTTGGTATACACAGACAAAAAACGCAACAATCGAAGGATTCTCTTACTTGGAATTACACCTACTTTCTTCGCTATTTTTGTATCAGATTTGGTTTTGATAGTAATTGTGGTATTGAGTGACGTAATTGCAGACGACGATAGAGAATCAACGGACGTCGTCGAATTTAGTTTCTCCGAGACTTTAGTTTTTGAGTCTGAAGTCGCAGAATGTTCTTTGATTGTCATCAGATCTGGTTCTTTCACGGGTTTTTCTTGGACATCATTGGAATTGGTTTTCGCGCATAAAGGCGATGTCTGGCGAATTTGGTCACGTGAAATCTTGGAAATGTGAGAACCGATAGGCATTGCTGAGGAAGGTTTGTCTTTCATTGTCGACGGGCCAGGTTGCTCTGTAGTCTTTTTTGGGATATCATTGGAATTGGTCCCTGCGCGAGAACATGTTTGATGGATTTGGTGCCAGCAAGAGTTTTTAGAAACTTGAGGATTGATGGATGTGGAAGATTTATCTTTGGGTGTTGTCAAAATCGTTTCTTCCGTGGCTTCTATTCTCGTACTCGAAGCGATTGGTAGGTTGACATTATCGGAGGTATCTTCACGAGTTGAAGTCAATATTTGTTTTACTATTCTTAATTTATCATCTTTTTCTTTAATGTAGCTCTAAAAGCGATTCAGTAGACTTTAATGTTCTTGCCAAAAATTAAATTATCGAAAGAGATAATATTCTGAAATACTTTAAAAAATATATATTAACATTTTGTCATAGTAAATTCTAAAGTGTACCATCAATCGTTCATGTTGTTCGCGCAGTTTCGTCTCTAATTCCTGAGTCATTCTATCGGTCTCTGCTTGTATCTTAATATTGCATCTCTGCATTAGTCTTTCCTTTTCTAATATATGTTGTTGTATCTGTCTGTCTTTATCCTTCAACTATACAGAAATTATATTAAAATATAAGAGAAGACGATAGCAGTTGGTAAAAATGAATGACTCATGAATGTTGCTGGCACACTTACTTCCTGTTGCATATTCCTCATAGCGTCACATGCACTGTTCAATTTGTACAGCAAGCCATCGATGTTGTTTTGCAATTTGCAGACACGACTCTCCAATATGCGGATCTGGAAAATTTATCACCGTAACACATTAACGAATATTGTACAGAGTGAAATATCTGTTAAGATTCAAACACAATGGGGAAATATAGTAACAGAAAATTATTTTCAATCAATAAAAAAATATTTTGGTATTCCTTGCTTGTGCATTAAAACATGGATCCCTACTGAAATTTAATTCTTCATTCCTAATTATCTACTTTTAATTTATTATGTACTTTAAGCTGTATTTATGATGCTAAAAATCAATCCATGATGTCGAATGAAGGAAAAATTGATCAATTGTAGCGATGCAATTGGCAGAAACAGACATTGCTATTGATTTGTTTTCTCCATCTAAGGTTTTGGATCAATTTCTAGCATTATGGCCACAAGGCTTCATTCATTTCCTTTTTCGATCTAGATCTTTATCAAGAATTTCACCTTCTTTTTTTGTTCGTCGTTGCAACATTTTAAGGATGCGTTCTCATGCTCTATCTCCATTAGCATATTTCTGAAATGATTCTCTGAAAAAATTATGTCAACATTAAGACTGCAGAATATAGATTACACTGGACGATACATTGAGATTATCCATACGTTTCTCGTGTACGTCCTCCTGCAGCAGATCTCTGTATTGACTACGCGTCTCTAAGAATTGTATAAGATTCATGACCGCATTCTCATCCCGCGGATCGTTCGTCTCAAAAAAGGAATCACCCAGACTGCAAAAAAAAAAAGATTGCAATGTAATCATATAAACAAGACACAAGTATCAGGATATCTATTTCTAAATTAACTAACGCGGCCATTATTATGAAAGTCGGCGATCAAAGTGAATCCTCCGCAATAACTTTGCCACCTCGCAACTTGTCAACTTCAAAACAGAGAGGAGACAGAAAAAGCACGTCACATCGTATCACGTTACATCGGTCAGGCACCGTCGTGCGGCAAAACATTTGAAATTTAGCGCACGTCGCGCCAATCGAGTGTAAAAAGCCGCCTCGAGAGTCCGCGTTATCACGATTGATAAGAAATTTGGTCGCGCGACCTAACTTACCGACCGAATGTCTGCCCCAATCGAATTCCAAGATGGCGGCATTGTTCGCTCGAGATTCTGTCGGGCGCGTCGGGACGGGATTTGAACGGCCACCATTTTCCATCTGATCCAGTAAGGCTAAGGAAAAATGAAAAAATTATGTGAATTTCCGCTTTTATCTCAGACACGCGAACGTATTATCTTAAAGCTGTTGTATGAATAAACTCAAGGTTACTTAAAGAAACTGCTTGGAAAATGAAAAGCCGTCTGCACGGCATTAGCGTACCGCGTATGTATGCGCGCCGCGCTCCGCGTTTCTTTCTTCTTTTCTTTTTCCCTCTCTTTCCGCGCCGGGTTGCATAATCCTCATAACAATCGCCTTCCGCCATCGCGTCATAAAACATTGTTTGAGATATTCGCCAACATCTGTGCGCCAACACCTGTTATCTTATTGATATTCAGCATCGCTATTTCACGTAATCCCCTTTATTCCGTGCAACGCCGTTTTATGACACGCGGGGAGGTCCCACCAGTCTCTCTCTCTCTCTCTCTCTCTCTCGGCAGACCCGGTTTCCCGAGTATATCTACGTGCGTTACGTATTTACAGAAACGGGAAAAATACCGCGTGAGGCGTTGCGTCAGGCCCGCCTGAAAGACGACCTACAAAACGCGCGTTACGAAAATTTCCAGAGTTTCATTTACGATTTTACATGCCCGCCCATATCTGACTCTTCAAATGTTTTCCACGAGGTTTAAAGCTCTAGATACAATTTTATGATTCAAATCCTCCGGTAAAATTCCTTAAACGTGTGATTCCGAGTCGTCTGAGACTCGGGCCTGGCGACTGCCCGAGCGGAAGAATGCCGACCGATTTTATAAAATTCACAATCAACCTCGCGCGAACTAACGCACTCGCGACCAATCGATCTCTCATCGAACGTCCTCGCGCGCGAGCGCGAGATTGTAAGGATAATTTAATCGGCGCGTACGCGATTATTTTCACAGCTCGGGGGGACCATCGTAGATCCCGAATTCTCGCCTGAATGACGCGAATTCTCGGGCAATGAATCATTATCGTCCGAGCGAGGAGAGGCGCACGAAGCGTTTTCGCGTAGTCCTCCTCCGGGGATTTTCCTCTAGTCTTTTCAGTAAAATCGCGCGGGTCGCGCGAGAACGCTGCGCTTTTGAGATACCCTCGCGCGATCCCGCCGCCGTTCACTTAATAGCCTCCTCCGTCTCGCTGTCATTATCTCGCGTTGACTGATCTGAATTTCCATCACATAAACTTACGTCATCGGACAGGTTTCCCGATCGTTCGCGGGCTCCGGCGGACTGCGTTTTTCATCCTCGAAGCCTGCGCTCGCCTGCGCGCAGAATCCGCGAGTGATTGATCGCTGACTGATAACGCTCTGCCCCTTGCGGAGCGGACCCGCGCGATTTCGCCACTGCCTCCCGGCTTCAGTTTTGCAAAACGTACTGGACGAGGAGGAAATAAAAAAACCGCACCGAGCTCCATCCGGAGGTAGCGAGCCAATGCGAATTGAGAGCGAGCGTGGAGGATACGAATCGTCGCGGGATTGGCGACATAAATGGGACGAAAGGTACGCGAGGGCTGGAGAGGAGCAAACGTAAGAATGAAGGGGGGAGTAAATAAAGCAGCACTTAAATTTATTTATTATTTTTTTTAATTGTATCCAATTGTTTCACCTAGTCGTAAATTAAGCTGCTGCAATGAATCAGCGAAAACTATCGCAATTAATTAATGTCAATTTCCTTCGTAGATTTACACGATTATCAATTCCGACGATTCCTGGAATTAATAATGAATAAAGTATAGTCTATCTTCCTATTAGAGTCAATTCTATTAATTGATTTTTAATATACGGCGTTTATCCAGCTTTCGTTTCCAAAAAAATATTCTTCTGAATTCGTCTACGATAAAAATTTCCAGCTTTCTTAGACAACACAAAGTCCAAATTCAGGACATCCTAAAGATATTTTTATTAAAAATATCTTTAAGATCTTTTATGTTCCAATTTTAGACTTTGCATTTTTTGGATTTATATATTTTTCGCTGGAAAAAAAAAGAAATTTAAAAAAATTGGATGATCGGTTTATTTTGTCGATATTCTAATATTTAATCTAACGATTGTTTCAGGCGTCATATGCGGTCTCGAGCGGCGTGATAAATCGCGCCTTTGTCGTAGACGAGCCGATAAATTGGAATGGCGTCGAAATTAATGGACCTACTCAGGAAACTAACGCGGTAATTATCCTCCACATGAAAATAACAAATCTGCAAACGTAACTCTTTGCTAAAACGCAAGACTAGAAGAAACTTCCAGATAATTTTATATAGATAATACAAGGTAACTTTCGATTAATTAATGTATAAAGTCGAGAATATGTATGACAGCAGAATGGAAAACGAGAAATACTCAGCAAGATCTTTAACATCTAAATAATTTCCTTATTTTTAAATTTATATATATATATATATATACATATATAAATTACAAAAATAAAAAAGAATTTCAATTAAAAATTTATTTTCCATTTTTAAGGATCTACTGACGCTAACATTCTAACATTGACAGTACCGTGAAAATTTAATAAATTGTTTTTATTTATTATCTGAACACATATCTAAAACCTGAAATCGATTTTCTAATTGATTCACGAGTTATTTAAGTTTTAATTTTGTATGAATTCTTATAGAATAGCATATTTCCATTTCTTATATTAATGAAATTATAAAAAGCCAATATTCTGAACATTGCCAATATTTACTCATAACTTTGTTTGTGAGTAAATAAAGTACTGAGCAATGTTTCTAAAAAAAATTCATTCACTAACTCGTTATCAAGATATTAATGATAAAGCAACGCAAAATTCTGAAAATGAATTATAACATTTGTTTACATACCTTATGTATTTTTAAATATTATATATTTTAAGTATCATTCGATATTTAATATACATTAAATATTATTAATATATGTTTTTTCGTTTCCTACAGTTGATTACAGGTAAAATTCCCAAAATTTTTTGCCAGCGATTATAAAAATTGCAAAATACACAAATATATTCAATTGTAATGCCAAATATCATATTAACTACCATTATTTAAGTCCTTTACACAATACAAGCACATATGGCGCATATATTAACTAATAAAAACATAGAATTATCAATTTAAAATTTAACTTTTGTTTAGAACTATATAACCAGAATATCTTTAAGCGTTTTAACTTGTTAAAACGAGTTAAAAAAGGACATGGTCTCTTTGCTTTGGATAATTTTGCAGAAAGAAAAAAAATATTCCTGCGAAACGTGCATTTCGAGAAACAAATCTCTTTGTTTGCTACTGTAAAATATTTTATTGAGTAAAGCACGTTCGTTCTCCTTGTGCTATAAATTATCAGAGATTTGCATATGTATTTCTTTTTCTCGTTCGCTTTTCGTGCAGGCGAAGCCGGAACGTCAGCAATGGGGAAGCGACAGAGAGTTCCTGCTGTCCTGCATCGCCATGTCGGTCGGCCTTGGAAATATATGGCGATTCCCGTTCACGGCCTACGAGAATGGCGGCGGTGCCTTCCTGATACCGTACATCATCGTCCTGATCGTCATAGGAAAGCCGTTTTATCTGCTGGAGATGATTCTGGGACAGTTCTCCAGCCAGTCAGCCGTAAAAATCTGGGATCTCGCGCCGGCATTCCGAGGTGCGCGTGTACTCGGTACATTCACTACACTCATCACCGGCGTGATTTCTTTCACAATTAACTCTCGCTCACACTTTGATCTTATTACATTCCTCTGTAGCACACGCAGAAGAATTGATGTAATTGCAAATAATTACAAGAATATAGCACAAGAACAAAATTAAAATTGTAGGCGTCGGCATCGCGCAATGTATGACGCTGCTGGCACTAGCGTCTTATTACTGTTCGCTGATGGCGTTGACTCTCTTCTACCTCGTCGCCAGCTTCCAGACGGAACTGCCGTGGGGAAGATGCCGGGAAGAATGGGGCGAATTCTGCGTAGACTCTCTACCGGGCAATCACAGCGCTAGAACCGAGAACACGAGTTACACCAGTTCCGCCGAGCTATATTTCTAGTAAATCATATAGTACGAACGATAATAAATCCCTCGACATTTTTTTTGCTAAGAAAAGAGTTAACTCCAAATTACCTAAAAAAAAAATCTCATTAAAAAATATCCAGGGATTTCGAAATATTTTATATATGCAAGAAGCAAGGCAATAACGAAGCAATTTGTTCCTCGTCCAGCAAGGAGGTATTACGAGAGAAGGACAACATCGACGATGGCATCGGCATACCGGATTGGCGTCTGTCGATCACACTTTTCATCAGCTGGCTAACAGTCTTCCTTGTAGTGATCCGAGGCGTGCGTAGTTCTGGCAAGGCGGCGTACTTCTTGGCGATATTTCCCTACATAGTCCTCGTCGTGCTGCTTGTAAGGGCGGTCACCTTAGATGGATCTACCGCCGGTATCCTGTACTTCATCACCCCAACGTGGGAAAAGTTGATGACACCGATGATCTGGTATCACGCTGTCGCCCAATGTTTCTTCTCGTTGACCGTCTGCTTCGGCGCCGTCGTCATGTTCGCCTCGCACAACAAGTTCGACCATGATGTGTATCGGTTAGTTAAAAAGTGCTATTTGCCTATCGGTCTCAGAATTTACAATTTTTATTATTCCTATTGGTTCCATGCCAACATTTTTGACGCGAGTCATTTAACTGTACTCATTGCTTATGAATGTTTACTCATTCATAGAGTTTACAGTTATCTTTATTATGGATATTGTGATGGATATTGTATAGTCGTAGACACTTAATTCTGCTTCAGCATTTTGCGATGAATCATCCAGTGCTATTGACTTCTAATTTTTTACGTGGGAAGAATAGTTTTGCTGAAAATTTGGCCAGAAAATTTTTTTATTGAGTTATCAAATAATTATACAGAATGTTTATATCGATTACTACAAAATTACAATTTTTGCAGTATTATCATTATATCATAATATAATTAAGCCATATAATAATTTCGATGATTCAATAAAATTATTTTCAGATCTGTATCTGACCGAATTTTTAAATACTTCAGCAAAATCATTTTTTTCCATGCTCTCATGCCACATTTCGCATATTTCAATAATGTAAAAAAGGTACGACTGAATAAATATTTATAAGCGGAATGCTCATCGAGGTGAGGCACGTGTCTGACAATTTTCATTGCCTTTAAGTGAATTCCATGTTTATTAGGGACGCGATGATCGTGACGACTTTGGACACTTTTACCAGTCTGCTAGCCGGTTGCACGATCTTCGCCATTCTGGGTAATCTCAGCCGCGAATTGGGTACCGAGGACGTCGGCGCAGTGGTCCGTGGTGGCATCGGATTGGCATTTATCTCCTACCCGGAGACAATCGCCAAGTTCACGGTCGCGCCGCAATTTTTCGGCGTCGTGTTCTTCGCAATGCTATTCGTCCTGGGGATCGGTAGCGAGGTCGGCCTCACCTCCGCCATAATTTCCATCGTGCACGATCAGTTCCCGAAGGTCAAGTACTGGCACGTAGCTGCTGGCACTTGCCTCTGCGAGTTTTTAATCGGTCTTATATACGTCACGCCGGTATGCTAATTAGAAGCGATTTACGATCGTTTTTGTAAACCAACGCCGTTATCTTAATTGAACGAGTGTTCACAGGGCGGCCAATTCATGATAACCTTCGTCGATTATTACGTGACCTCGTTTATCGCTTTTCTGCCGGCTGCTTTCGAAATGATCGCCGTCGCTTGGTCGTACGGTACGTTTTTCCTGTCCGAATTACCTTCGCTTCAAATTTATGTCGCCAATTATCCGGTCGTACCAGACGAGATTGAGAACCGAGATCCATTTTAGGACTGGGTAACTTCTTGAACGACATCGAGTTCATGCTGAAGAGACGCCTATCGATGTTCTGGCGGCTCTGCTGGAGCATCCTTACTCCTGGAATTATCCTTGTGATCTTCCTGTATACATTCGCCAATCTCGAACTTCTGAAATACAATAAGAATTTCTACCCGAATTCAGCTTACGGTGAGTCATTAAAACTTAATAAGTTCTAAATGTTTGGAAAATTTTCTAATTATTTTTTTTTACGAAAATTCGAAGATTATGTCATTTTTTAATTTTCATATCACTTTATCATAATGTCTTTTGTATTATCACACATATTTTCTTCTTAATTACTCAGATTAAATTTATAAACAATAATACATACCATAATAATAATAATAATTTTATGAATTGATCTTGTATCTCTTCCACAGTTGTAGGTTGGATTCTCTTTTCCATTGCTGTTTTCCAAATACCTTTATGGATTGCCATTGCGATATTCAAGAAAAGACATCTTCCTTTCCAGAAAGTATGCAAGAAAGTCAATGCTCTTATTAAATTATATCTATTTGACTATAATATTATCTATTATAAAATAATGCTACTTATCTCTTTTAGATGATTAGGCAAGCATTCCAGCCATCGAAATCTTGGGGTCCGAGCAACGCGGAAGATCGTAGAAAATGGTTGGCCTTCCGAGATCAGCGTGATGCGGAAGAAGAATGATATCACGGTATATAAATCAACAGTTCAAGGTTCGTCCTGACTTTCAAAAGATGACGTTTCAAGATTTCGACGATGAGGTCAACCGAAGTTAAATGACTTTATAGCAGAATTACAAGCGGCACATTCATCGTTTTGCAATTAACGAAACTCATCATTATAATTAATGACATATATGTCATTACAATGTTACATGGCACTAAGTATAATGATGGTAATGAGCATTTTCGCAATTCATTTGTCCTTGCTAACTGTACGTCTGTTATTTCTAAGCTTCATAGAAAATGGAACCGTGTGAATGAAAATGGAACCATGACTTCACGATTATAGCTTGTATGCAATACTGGCGTTGAAGCACTGCGCGTTGTATCTTAAATACAAAGCGCGATTTAAAAAAAAATTTTAATGCGTTAAATAGTTTACGAGCGGCAAAAAAATACAGTACAGTTCTATATGTAATTATTAACAGTCGATAAATTATGAGATATTTGGATTCTAAATTCGCGAAACATTTGAGATATTTCGTTACGCAAGCATATATGCAAATAGAATAAATATGTGTGCCTATCATTGCCTCCTTCTCTTGTCGCCGAGAGAACTTGTTGGTTTCCTTTCGCTTAGAAAGATTCTGCGTCATTGCATATGAAGCGTGACGTATCGTGACATCATGCAACTGTGACGTACGGGATTATATTGCGAATACAGAAAATACAAAAAAAAAGAAAGAAAAACTACCATAGTACAATCTCTCGGAATCTCTTATCCCTTCCCAGATCTTATTTCATGAATAGCTTCATCCGCGCGCGACCAACCAATCCGGGAATTCCTATTTCCCCTACCTTCGTTTTCCCACGCAAGTCTATCCCTCCCTGCCCGGATATCTGTCTGATTTGTGGGGAAGAAGTTCGCGTCTTTTTGTCTTCCACCACTTTCTCTTCCCTGCCGAGGAAGTCGACCCATTTCCGGTCGCCCCCTCTCGCAGGGAATTCCCTCTCGCCTTCGCCGTCTCGCTTATCCTATTTCTCTCACTATTTCTCTTCAAGGATTCTTCCTTCCACCGATACGCAAAATTCATATTATCTCTGATCCGCTCGGTCGGCACCGGGCAATTCAGAATTCGTATAATTATCCCTTTACGTGATGACGCGTAATTTACTGTCGCTCTCCTACCTAGGCTACCACCTGACCGTCCACCTAGAGACGATCGGCTCATCACGTTTCGCTTGGCGAGGCGCAGTGTTCTGTCACCTACCGCCGCGAGGGTATATAGTAGTACATCGTTTTATCAAATGCGTTTCCGAGAGAATCGTGTGGGAGAGAGCGCACTTCGACGCCCGATCCGACGATCAGTCCCCGTCGACAGCGTCGACGTTCGAGGTATCCCTTCGGAACTTGGTGGCGATCGCGTCCTAGTTTCCTGCCTAACGTGGATGTCGTTTCCAATTCTCAGGCGTGTCTCACGACGTGGTCATCGTCCGCTATGTACGAGGCAGTAAGTGAACGATTCATTCCGAGTAATGTAAATGTAAGCGTCGGTGCGGCCGATTAGAAAATAGGAAAAACATGTCAATCAACATGTGCGAAGTGTGATACGAATGTTAATAGGTAGGCGGAATAATTAACGACTTTAATGACAGTCGTCGTGCAAATAATGGTCATTCGCGCGAGGTGAATGTGAGAGCGCGCGAGAAGAGAATTGGTCTAGCTGACTTCGTCCATCCTGAATCTCCTCGCTGCCGTCGAGCACCTTTCGTTTCTTTTCTATCGTCATGTGTCTCACGACTCGCGAACAAGATAAGTGAAAGTTACCCTAAATATGTAAGTAATCGCGGCCTCGGCGACGTCAACCTGGAATCGGAATAAAAGAAGAATGTGTGATAACACCTGTGTAATTGGTCTCCGGGACGAGATAAAATAATCGTTTCGCTGATTGCCGACGACGCGAGCGACACGGAGTGTTTCAACACAGGCGCAAAATAACTTTGATGTTTGCCGAGGTATTCCACGAGGGATCTTCGTGCGAGGGGATATTCGCGGTGATAAAATTATCGTTCGATATCATTAGTCTTCCCGGTGATCTTCGGAAATCCTTTTACTGCGTGGATATCTTGCAAAATTGTTATTTGATGTTGCCTGCTAGGTGTACTTTAATCTAGGCGGCGCTTTGATTTCAACGCGAAAGGAACGTTTCACGAATAGAACGTTTCCTTTCGAACTCGTTGGCATTGACCCATATTCTTCTCGCGTATGTTAAAACAATGACATATAGAAAACTCTCGTTTTCGCTTCGCGTCGAAGGCGCTTGTAGGAAATGGAATTGAATCGAATCACAATTCGGACGTTTCGCGCGTAATTGCAGAGGGACAAGAAGCACCTGGGCTTCGATAACGTCGTCTTCCAAGTAGACGAGCCTCATCACGTCCTCGAGAATGGCGGGAGGACGTATTATCCCGGGGACTCGACGAGCGCCTTGGACGTGCAGGTCGACGAACCGGGAAAGGAACGGGCGACATGGAACAACAGCGTGGAGTTCCTCATGTCGTGCATCGCCGTGTCGGTCGGTTTCGGAAATATCTGGCGATTTCCGTTCACGGCCTACGAGAACGGCGGCGGCGCCTTCCTCATCCCGTACGTGATCCTGCTGTTCCTGGTGGGGAAGCCATTCTACTTCCTGGAGATGATCATCGGACAGTTCTCCGGCAGATCGTCCGTCAACGTTTGGCGCATGTCGCCCGGTTTCGTCGGTAATTAACCCCGGTCCTATATAATTTTTTCACGAGAAACAGGCGATCTGGAAGATAGGTGGTCGGTCATCATTTCCAAACAAAATATTTATATGTACATATATAAAATAAACTTTACGCAATTTCATCTTTATGCAAATTATATTTTGCATAATCCTCGGAGTTTTATGTAGAATACAAATTTCCAAGCTATAAATCAACAATATAGAAATCGCTAATTACAAGGATTTAAATCACGGCGAATTCCTACAAATGCCGGCCTCAACCGGTTCCGCTCGGTTGAATAACTCCTTACACGTTATCGCGTCCGGCAAGGTCGACGACGGCGACTTTAACGTACATCCCCGTTTGAAGACAGACGGTTCTTACGTCGACAGGGGTCGGATGGGCGCAATTCTTCTCGACCGTCGCGCTAGCGACTTACTACAGCTCGCTGATGGCACTGACACTGTACTACCTGATCGCATCCTTCTCCGTCGAATTGCCCTGGGCCACTTGCCTGAAGGAATGGGGTGACACGTGCGTCGACTCGAGCACCAAGAGAAACTACAGTGCCGATCCCAGCACGACAGAAGGACACGTCGATGTACTCGATAAATTCCTAAACGGGAGCAGCAAGCTTCAAAGTTCGGCCGAACTTTACTTTTCGTAAGTATATTACCTTGTCGCACTCCCGAGAGAAAATGGCAAGTCAAGTTGCGCTCATAATTTTCACATTGCGAGGCATTTTGCAGATAAACGAGTCTCAGAAATGACCTCGATCACACCTAATATTAGAAATTAGAAATTTCCAATAAACGATGACCCTATTTGATATCCTCGCCGCGAAGAGGAGGCGGTTCGGAAATTGATCGGAAAATCTCTCGTTATAATCAGACTCTTTCAGCGTAACAGCGATTAGATTAGTGATATTTATCTTCTAAAGGCGTAGTGATTTACAGGCGAGCGGTGTTGCACGAGAAGGAGAGCATCGACGACGGGATCGGATGGCCGAACTGGAAGCTGACTCTGTGCCTTCTTGGCAGCTGGGCGACGGTCTGCATAGTCCTGTTCCGAGGTGTAAAAAGCTCCGGAAGGTTTTCCTACTTCCTAGCCATTTTCCCGTACATTGTGCTGATCGCGCTGCTGGGGCGCGCGATTACTTTGGACGGCGCGATCAACGGGATCTTCTACTTCGTCACCCCGAAATGGTCGAAACTCCTGGAACCGACCGTCTGGTACGCCGCTGTTACCCAATGCTTTTTCTCGCTCTCCGTTTGCTTCGGTAGCATCATCACATACTCCTCGCACAACGGTTTCAAGCACAACATTTACAGGTGAGAGAATGGGCACGGCTACTCACGAGTCTGTACGTGTATTTGTGTGTATTTAAATATTTAAAAAATTCCACAGCACTTTGTGATATAATAAAGAGAAAGGAAAGAGAGATGAGGTATATAAAAGCAAGTTCTTATAATCTTTTTATGCATAATTAAACCATTTTATGAATGTTTGTTATTTTTATTTTTATGAATGTGTATATTTACATAATTTATACTTATTTTATATAATTTATATATTTATGAGTTGAAAAGCAATGCTAAATAATTTCTTAAAGTTTTTTTTAAATATTTCGCTCGTGAGTCATTATAATTTTTTTATTTCGTTTACATTCGTGATTTATCATATATAAACCCAGAGACGTCATAATAATCACTTCGTTGGACACGATTACGAGTATGTTGGCCGGCTGCACGATATTCGGAATTCTCGGCAATCTGGCATATGAATTAGGGATAGAAGATGTATCCGAAGTGGTCAAGGGCGGAGCCGGCCTGGCATTCGTGTCTTATCCCGACGCAATAGCAAAATTTTCCGTTTTGCAGCAGGTATAATTATTTATTTCGTCACCTACTATCCTCTTTTCTAAAAAAAAAGCATGCAAATCAATACTCGCATTTCTCGAAGTATTGTTGTGACAAAAGGTTAATGGTGTAACAGTATTATATAATTTCTGCTCTTTTTATTTAAAAAGATAAATAGCGCACGTGTCTATAGTGTTTAGTTAATTAAAATGTCAAACGTTTCTTTTTCTGAGAATGGAATATGTTTATTTTGTTGTTGAAATATTACTTAAGACCATCGGTTGTCAGGTTTTTGTAAAAATTAAAACGATCTTTTCCATTTCAGTTATTCGCCGTGCTTTTTTTCTTCATGATGTTTGTCCTTGGTGTCGGGAGCTTGGTGGGAATGACCACGGGAATCATCACAGTAATAAATGAACAATTTCCGAGTCTGAAAACTTGGCAAATCGTAGTTCCAACCTGTTTATTTAGTTTCTTAATCGGTACGGTCTACATCACACCGGTTAGTATAAAACTGTATTATTCAATAAAAGAAATAATTAATATAAGAGATAATTAATCTTAATGTCGCGTATAAAATTAAGGAATTTTGTAGGGCGGACAGTTCATTTTAACTTTAGTAGACTATTATGGAACATCGTTCGTCGTTTTCATTCTGGCGTCATTCGAAATGGCTGGAGTAATATGGGTTTATGGTAAGAATTATTTTTATCACCTTCTTTATATCTTTTCGTTTTCTTTATGCTTTTAATTACTCAATCTTAATTATGCTTATCTGATTGCGCTAATACGTTTATGATATTTATATCTTCTGGTAGGTCTGGAGAATTTTTTGGAAGACTTGGAATTTATGCTGGATCGAAAACCAAGTATATACTGGAGAATATGTTGGTTTATAGTAACGCCTTTATTACTAATAACAATCTTTGTTTATACCGTGGCTACGCTATCGCCTTTGACTTATGGTGGAGTATCGTTGCCGGAATCTGCGCATGTCGCCGGATGGACGATACTTTGCCTCGGGGTTCTTCAAATACCGTTGTGGATGCTAATCGCAATGTGGAAGAATCGGGAACTTTCATTCGTACAGGTAACGGAAAAATGCGGAAAGAAAATGAAGTTGACGTATTGACGAAATGACATTGACGCGTGTTACGAATTTAAATAAAAAATTTCATAAAATGATTAAATTCATGGAAATCATATATATATATATATATATATATATATCAATTGTATATATTATTTTAGATGTTAAAGAAAGCTTTTACACCCGCAAGCGAATGGGGTCCGCGAGAGGTACAGCAGTGCAAGGATTGGAAGATCTTTAAAGAGGAAAGAATGAGAATCCGACAGAAGAGGATTCAACCCATCTGGAAGCAAATATTTTACATTCTTTTAAACAAAGAACCAATATAGAATGTGCAATTTTGTACTGAGCTCGAGCTGCTTTAAATTTGTCAAATTTTTGTAGTCATTTTTTTTTCGCTGCGACAAGACACGTGGACGACGTTAACGATAAGTTAACGAATATAGAAGGAATTATTTATTTTTAAATCCCTTAACTGCATTCCTATTTCCAGGAAACTGTTTATTACATTTATTCTTTATTATATTTATTTATATTAAAGTTGAATTTAAATAAAAATAGCAACATAACTAACTACGCAATTAGAGCTTGTAAAAATTAAATTATAGACTTGAAAATAAAATATTAATTACTAAATAACTGTACATATAGTTACGCATTTGCATAATACTGCAGTTAAGGAATTTATAATCGTGTTTAAAGCTTAACCCTCGCCAGATTCTGTATAAATTCTTGCATATAATGTTGCACTGTGTGTAACATGACACGTGACAATGAGTTGCCAATACTATTAAGTATCATTTCACGCAATCGACATTGCATGAATGATCCAAATAAAAGATAAACGTAATTGATTTTTATGTTATTTTAATAATTGTTATTGTCAATCTTTGCCAAACAGCGCTGCTATAACTTTTGATTTTTTCGCACACGCTCGTGATATCCTTTTCGAATGCTTGAAATCTCTCCATTCATTGTATTTTTGCAAATCCTTCGGACCCCAATCGGCACTCGGCTTAAATGTCTAAAATTTAAAAAATGATTTTAGAATTTTAAACGCATGATTGTACATTAAAATATCATATTTAAATAAAATACAAATATGTATTACATTCGAGCACTTGTCTCTATTCCGAAATCCAACAATAATAATGCCTAAGGGAAATGGAAGAATCCCTAAAGCCAAAAGCGTCCAACCAGCAGCTATAAGATTAAAAACATACTTTTTTTAATTATTTGTCATATAAAAATTATTTCTTATAATTATAATTTAAATTAATAATTGTAAATAACCTTTTTACTTAATTTACGCTTTGTTTACATTTATGTTTAATTAAAATTGGCTTGAATTGTATGATATTATAATTTTACATCTTAATTATAATTATAAGAATTTTACAAAAATAATATTAATACCATATGCGGACGTTGGATAATATTCATCATTGTACATGAGTGGTGTCATATCAATCAGGAAGTAAATCAAGATGGTGAATAGAAACAAAGGAGTTAAATAACACCAGCAGAATCTCCAATAAAAGAATGGACGTCGTCCTACCATGAACTCGATATCGTCCATAAAATTGTCAATACCTGATAAATAGGCAAATTATTTCTGCAAAATAATCTTTTATACAAAAATAAAATATATTACCGTATATCCAGGAAATGGCGATCATTTCGAAGGAAGCTAAAAACACGATAATAAAAGTTCCACCGAAATAGTCGACCAGGTTGAGAATGTATTGACCGCCCTATTAAATAATAAAACAAACATTATTATTATAATTTTCTTAGTAATGCTTATGCTGTTTTAAATAAAAAACTGATCTTAAAAATCTTTTTAATTTCACTCTTCATCATTGTAAACATTGATAGTAAACGAGCGATAAAGATTCTGCTATTCAGCAAGAGAAAAAAGATGAGGCTCACAGGCGTGCAGTAGACAATGCCGATTGAAAATCCGAGAATGGCAACACCAGCGGCGATCTTCCACTGATTAAGCCGTGGAAATTGGTCCTTGATAATGCTGATAATCACATTGCAGAAAGCAACGGTAGTGCCTATGCCCAGCACGAAGAGCATCAGGAAGAAGAGCACGGCAAAAAGCTGCGGTACCACCGTGAATTTCGCCAAGGCTTCCGGATAGGATACGAAAGCCAACCCCGTCCCGGCGCGTACGACGCTACCGATATCGTCGCTACCAATTTCGTGGGCGAGATTACCCAGAATTCCGAAAATGGTCGCGCCCGCCATCAAGCTGGTGCAGAGATCCAGAGTCGTCACGATCATGCAGTCTCTGCAAGAATCCCCCGCTAATTTTTTAATAAACTTTCGCGCTTGAATTTTATAAAATTTCTACCAATAGCCAATGGCTTTTGGGGTAAAAAAATGATCCTAGAAATAGACGCGTACCTCGATACCTTGTGATTGAAACTGTTGTAAGAGGAGTACATGGTAACCGCGCCGAAGCATACGCCGAGGGAGAAGAACGATTGCGTGACGGCGGCGTACCAAACCGCCGGCTCCAGGATCTTGTGCCACGTGGGCTTGAAGAGGAAGATGATGCCATCCATCGCTCCGTCCAGCGTCACCGCCCTCACTAGAAGGCTAATCATGACGACGTATGGGAAAATGGCTAGGAAGTAGGCGGCTTTACCAGTGCTCTTCACCCCCTTGCAGATCACCACATAGACGAATATCCAACTGACCAGCAACGCGAGGACCAGCTTCCACGAAGGTAGCCCGAGCCCATTCTCGATCCCAGTTTCATTAAGGACGTATTTTCTAAACACACAAATGATTAGGAATGTTTAGTCTATTTGAAAAATTAAGATCTCCTTTAAAAGAGTTACTTTAGATTTGTGATTTAATTTTTACATATATTTATTCACATGTCACATCTGTTTTTTCTGATATATTCTAATATGTATATTTTATGCAATCTTGATTTAAACTTGTTTTCTACTCGGATAAACAAGTCTAAGAAAATCAATAAAAAAAGACTTATTAACACGAAGGAAAAAATTTTTAAAATAAAGATAACGAGCGAGAGATGGATAAAAGATAATATCAGTGATTTAGTGTATTATATACAGCAATTTAGTGCATTATTATTATTATCACATAGCTCCGAGAGATAGGAACGGATTTCTATCCTGGATCTCGTCGTGGAACAACAAGTTTCTACGTATTCACGTCACACGTGATGTTAATTACAAAATATAGTCACAAAAGGCTTCTGTTAATTTATAACTGATATTGTGCTACGTAGCACGTGCACAGACGCGATAACGTCAGATTAAAATAGAAATGCAAAAGATGTCCTAGGGACGCCTCTCTAATCACGTTGTAAAAGAATTATAGAGAGAAATTAATGCACCTGAAATAGAGATCGGCGGAGCTTCTTCCGCTTCCGTTTCTCGCTTGCTCGCCGCTCGACGAGCTATTGAAACACACGTCGCCCCATTCATCCCAACAATAGGACCACGGGAGCACTGACTGACAGCTGGCCACCATGTAATATAACGTCAGGGCCATAAGAGCGCAATAATAAGTGATTACGGAGAACACCGATACTGCCACACCATAGCCGATCCCTAACAATCGACAAATTAATCAATTATAATTAAACTTGCTAATTGTACTTATGCATGATAATTAAGTTCAATCATGCAAATTAAGTATGTATATTGTTATTCATGTATGTGCACGTTTCATACATAATGTACAAATATGATAATGTACAATGATAAATATGTTTCCTCAAAATATAAAAACTAATGGCAAATTTAATTGTGGACGCATATAGAAAAAATAGTCTTGCTGAAGTTATCTAAAAAAATTTTAAACAAATCTGAAAACAATTTTATTTTTATTTTAATTTTATTTATTTTTTATTTTATTTTTATTTAATTTTATTTTTTATAATACCGCAAAAAATGTTTTCCATTCAAAAATAATCAGTTTAAATATTTTACATAATTATTTTGATGATTCAACACAGGTGTCTAAAGACTTTTAAAAGAGAATTTTAGGGATATTCTTGATTTATATTATAGGATTTAATTATATATATCTAGATATCTGAATTTGCGTATCTGCGTTTTTAATGACAATTTCTCTCTTCCAGAGGACTTTTCCAGAGATTTCAGTTCTTATGAAAAGTACCTTGGAACGCGGGCGACACCGACCAGATTTGCACGCAGGATCTATTGGTGAACTGTCCGAGGATCATCTCCATGTAATAGAAGGGTTTGCCAATTACGAAGAGCACTACTATGTAAGGGATGAGGAAGGCGCCACCGCCATTCTCGTAGGCCGTGTACGGAAATCTCCAAACATTCCCGAGGCCAACGGAAAACGCCACGCAGGACATGAGGAATTCCACCCCGTTTCCCCATTGCGCCCTCGTCTTTTTCTCCTCCTCTTTGACCGACACCGAGATCTGAAAGTAAGTTACAGGAAGTTCTTCAGCTCTATTGAAGTTGCATATCACTTCCTGGTGAATTTACCCTGCTTTCATGCTCGTTTCCGGCTGACGGCGGGACGGATAGCTTGAATATACCAGGAATTCCGTCGGTGTCGATGATGTAATTCTATTATGAAATTAATTATTCATTATCTGATAGTTTCTTTTCCATAGAAAGTAATGTAAAATAATATATGGTTCATATACGCTCTCTGATCGCCTTGTGTGTCTTAGTCATTGGGCTGCCCTCCAAAAATGAAAGATTACTCACAATCGCAACGCGACCTCGCAGAAATGGCTATTCGGATAGTTTAACACGTCGTAATTATTTCAATAGGCATAATAATTTAATTTAATTTATTTTGTGAATTTATTTTGTAATGTCGTAATTTATATTTACAGTCGGCCAATTTTGAATGGAAGATACATAACTTCGATGTCAATGCCGCCGCATTGTGTCCATCTTACGTAATGTAAAAACAAATTAGCATAGATTGATTAACCGATCGCATTTTGCAATGTCTCATTGATGAATTTCTTGATAAATTTTAATTTAAATTTAATGAAAGATTTAGATTAGATTTAAATTTATAATGTCGGAAAAAATTTCGAGGTTTTAACGATTATATCTTGATATCGTTTACGGGAAAATAATGTTTACTGTTTTTATTGCCATATTGACAAATTGTTGAAACGGATGGACGTGATCCCCGCTTTATCTTATCGTAAAAATGTTTAAAAATTCTTACGATGATTACTTACATGAGCACTTTTATAACAAATTAATCAATTTATTTACGACAAGGTGGATAAATAGAAAAATATTGATAATAATGACAAGATTTAATGTTCTACAGTAAAACAAAACTTTCACTTTAATCTGAGATATTTTCTCTTTTCATTAATCCTAATGTAATATTATTAGATGTAATATTGCGCTTTATTGCAAATTTCTAATGTTACAAGCAACAGACGTAAGCATAACGGCTGAAGTGGCAGCCTACGAATTTCTGTAGATTTCTGTTTCTCTTTGATCAATTTCTCTCTCTCTCTCTC